TAATATATGTTTTTAAGTGTTATATTTAAAGCTTTCCTAAAAATGAGAATATCTTGAATAGTGCATCTATGGATGCACTATTTTTATTTTTTTTCTCAAAAATAGTACATCACATATTAAGAAAATTTTCTTCCTAGACCAATTTTTTTACATATATTTTTGATGTATTTAAAAGCTAAAATATGAAAAAACATTATACATATGTATTATAATTTATTAAAAATAAAAATAAAAAAATTAAAAAAAATTGACACATTGTTCAAATGTTCAAAAATTATAAAAATACAAAATAATTTAAAATAGAAAACTAGTGGCATATGCCCATAAGTGTCCTATTCAAGGTTTTTCTAAAAATTTTAGATAATTTTGAATAGTGTATCGATGCAATGCATTATTTTTTATTTTTTCTCAAAAAAATAATGTATCACCTATTAGGAATTTTATTTCTAGACCAAATTTTTTACATATATTGTTGACTCATTTAGAAGCTCAAATATGAAAAAATGTTATATAGATACATTATAATTTGTTAGAAATACAGAAAATAAAAAAAAAATAACAAAATGTTTTGATGCTTAAAAAATCAAAATATCTCTAAAATACAAAACCAGTGACATATATCCATAAGTGTCTTATTTAAAGGTTTCTTAAAAATTTAAGATCATTTTGAATAATACATTTACACAATGCATAGTTTTTTGATATTTTCCTCAAAAATAGTGCATCATCTATTAGGAAATTTTTTTTACTAGATTAAAATTTTTCATATATTGCTGGCCTATTTAGAAGCTCAAATATGAAAAAATATTACATAGGTATATTATAATTTATTAGAAATACAAAAATGAGAAGAAAATAAAAAATGACACACTATCTGGATGCTCACAATTCAATGAAAATATCCAAAAAAAATTCTAAAATAAAAGACTAGCGACATATGTTCATAAGTGTCCTATTCAAAGTTTGTCTAAAAATTTAGATCATTTTGAACAATGCATCTTTGCAATGTATTATTTTTTATTTTACCAAAAAAATAGTGCATCACTTATTAGAATTTTTTTTTCTAGACCAAATATTTTATATATATTGTTGACCTCTTTAGAAGCTCAAATATGATAAAATATTACATGGATGCATTATAATTTTTAGAAATAAAAAAGAAGCAGAAAATAGAAAAGTGACATATTGTTCAGATACCCAAAAATTTATAAAAATATGGAAAAATTCTCTAAAATAAAAGTCCAGTAGCATATGTTCATGAGTGTCCTATTTAAAGCTTTCTTAAAAATTTTAGATCTTTTTAAACAGTGCATCTTTGTGATGAATTATTTTTTATTTTTTCTCAATAACAATGCATGACCTATGAGGAAAATTTTTTCTGTACCAAATTTTCTACATATATTTTTGACCTATTTTGAAGCTTAAATATGAAAGAACATTGCATTTATGCCTTATAAGATTTTAGAATTAGACACAATAAGAAAAAATTAGAAAAATGACACGGATGCTAAAAAATCCATAAAATACCAAAATATTTTCTAAAATGGAAAGTGCACCTATTTGGTGCACTATTTTTGAATATTTTCTCAAAAGTAGTGCACACATTTTAGGAAAAATTTTCTCTAGACCAAATTTTCTTTATATATTGTATACCTCTTTATAAGCTCAAATGTGAAAAATATTACGTGGATGAATTATAATTTATTAGAAATAAAATAAATAAGGCAAAATAACATATTATTTTGGATAAAGATTTTATTTTTAAAAATACTCAAAATATTGGTAGTAAAATAATAAGTTTTCATAACATCGTTTAGAATAGCAAACATTTATGCAACCCTAAAATCCTAGCTATACAATAAATCAAAATTTTAAATTTTCTACTAAATATTTTTATGAAAATAGAGACATATTTTAAAGAAAACATTAAAGCTCTATCACAAATAATGTTAGTTGTCAGTGTAGTTTTGGAACTCTGGAAGCATAAAATGATCAAACCCTAAAACCCTTTTTTGACAATAACATAATAAAAACTCAAAGAACTTGGTGTCGTGGATGATCGCGGAACTCAACCCTAAACATAATAATAACGTAATACTTGGAGGTTATAGATTATATTGTAATAATATTAATGGAATAGGGTGTAGCTGTAGATGAAAGATTATGTTGCGTTGATTAGTAAATGTGAAACAAGAATATATGATTAAAAAATCGATTCAAATTAGACTAATTTTTTGTTTGACTTAATTGTATGTGAGCCAAGCGATTTTTTAAGGTTAATATTATCGTTTCAAAAAATAAGGGTGTTGTTTGGATACTTTTTAAAATAAGGATGTTTTATGAGAAAAAAATTAAAATTAAATTTTTTTTATAGAATTCGTCCTTCAATTTATTATGTTAGTTTATGTTAAACTTAAAATATGAATCGGATCAAATTGAAGAAGACTAGTTCAATTTGATATTCTCTTGTTTTTTTTTTCTTTCACCCTTCTCCACTCGTCCACGCTTATCCTTCCCAATTTTTTTATTTTTTTATTTTTCCTTACTTACTCTATTTTTGTTTCTTATAAAACAGAGAAAAAGATAAAGACATGTAAGGAGAAAAACAAAAAAGAGGAGGATAAAAGCCCAAGATTGACCTAAACGGATTCAATGATATGAACAGATTCAGAAAATTCTAAAAAAATATTGATTGGATCATATCATTCCCTTTTACAACATAGTAGGAGGGTGGCCATACTTAGACTTGCTGAATATAGCAAAAAAAGGTGGTAAAAAGTAATGCGGTTAAGAGGCAACATTCTATTCTTATAGTGGATAAATTCTCAATAGAGATGTCATCTGACAAATTATTAGAGATTTTTTCTGCTTTAGTTGCCCTTAATATCTTTTTGAACCAGTTGGAGCTTACACACCTTCAAATTAAAGGGCCTTTGTGAATTCAAACTAAGGCAAATGTACAAAGCAACAGAAGAAAACAGAAACAGTATGTGTAGAGGTGGATGAGATCAAACCTTAAGGACGGCTTTGCCCGCATGTCAAACTCCTGTCACCCAAAATAAAAAAGATCATTATCCCATCCATCATCACATGCAATTTAGCCTGTCATAAATTTCCTTCTCCAAGTGACAAAACCCCTTCACCAAACTCCATTCCAAGTCTCTCTCTCT